GCTGGTCCCCTCCCCATTGCAGTTCGACTGCTGGTGGTTCGTCACCCAGCTGGTGTGAGAGACCTGCGGACACCAGCCCAGAGACCACCGCCGTGGCCAATGTGTGAGCCTGTAGCAGACGGGCACCAGGTTCCAACTTCCTCCGGCACCCTCCTTGTGCACAGACCCGAGCCACCGCGCAGGCGCCATATTGCCTCCTCCTCCACTCCACGCGATCCTACCCGGCGGCTACCCAGAGAGACAATACAGCCACCCAGCCGGAGCCACCTCGCAGGAACGGCAGGACCTTGCCCGTTTGGGACCCGCTCAGGCCGCTCCCCAGGTGCTCTGCACCTGTGTTCCCAGGCGAAAATGGTGCCTGACTCAGATCTGAGACATCAACCACTGGGTCGCTCCCTGTGGTGAATTAGACCGGATAATCCTTCCCTAGTGGGAATTACAGTTTGAACTCTGGGATCCCAGAGTCGACCTGCAGAGCCACGGTCCCCTGCCAGCCGAGGCTTAGCCATTTTATCCGGTGGCACAGAAGGTTATATGGAACAGCCAACGAGGTGGGCCCAGTAGGGATCGGCGGTCTAGCGAGGGCAACCCCCTCCTCCCAGGACATGGCCGTTGTGTGCCAATCCCAGGAGGTGCGTTGAACCTCCTGTGCAAGTGAACCCTCCCCGCTGTAAGCAAATCCACCTACCCTTGCTGCTGGTCTCTGGGCTGCTCCGGTGGTCTCAGCCTCCAGTTCTCCTCCGCAGCCTCCTCCCTTGGAGTCTCCCGTAGTCTCAGGTACCCCTCCTTCCGGCCCTTGTCTGCTGTATGCTCATCTTCTTGCTTCTTTCTTCTAATTTCTGCTAGAATCTGTCTTTTCTGCAGAGACACTCTGTCTGTCGGTGTTATTCGTCTGCCATCTTGCTCTGCCCCCTTGATTAAACGTTTGCTGGTAACCATACTTAGGTGGGAACATCTGCCCACTGATGAGCTCCCTTTTGTTTTAGCAGGTGAATTTATGTAGAAATACAACTTCAAGAGCTTTTTCCTGAGGAGGGAAGTTAAGGGGAGAAAAACACCACACTTACCTTTCTTCCATTTTTTCCCACTTGCCATTTAGGAGGCCAATGTAAATGTATCCCTGCGTTGAGTGAATACTACTTCTCCTCAGCCTCTCTGCTTCCCCAGCTTTGGTTTTGCAGGTACCCGTAAGTGTTGCATTGAGGAACTGCCAAACTGTTTTACATGGGAGCTGTACCATTCTTCATTCCCATCAGAAGTGTGTGAGGGTTCAAATTTCTTCATATCTTCACCAACACTTGTTATTTTCCTTTAAAATATTAATATAGCCATATTGGTGGGTATGAAGTGATATTTCATTGTGGTTTTGATTTGCATTTCCCTAATGGCTAATAATGTTAAGCATCTTTTCATGTATTTGTTGGCTATTTATATATCTTCTTTGAAGAAATGTCTACTCAAGTTCTTTACCTTTTTTTTTTTTTTTTTTTTTTTTTTTTGAGACAGGGTCTCGCTTGTTGCCCAGGCTAGAGTGAGTGCCATGGCATCAGCCTAACTCACAGCAACCTTAAACTCCTGGGCTCAAGCAATCCTGCTGCCTCAGCCTCCTGAGTAGCTGGGACTACAGGCATGCGCCACCATGCCCGGCTAATTTTATATATATATTAGTTGGCCAATTAATTTATTTCTATTTATAGTAGAGACAAGGTCTCGCTCTTGCTCAGGCTGGTTTCGAACTCCTAACCTCGAGCAATCCGCCCGCCTCAGCCTCCCAGAGTGCTAGGATTACAGGCGTGAGCCACCGCGCCCGGCAAGTTCTTTACCTTTTAATTGGGTTGTTTATTATTTTGTTGTTAAGTTGTAAGAGTCTTTTATGTATTCTTTTTATGTATTCTGGATACTGGAAATTTATCAAATATATTATTTGCAAATATATTTCTACCTTTCTTTAGGTTGCCTTTTCACTTCATTTGTGATTTTGATTATTTGCAGAATAAATTTTTTAAAAAATTGTTATATAGTCCAATTCACTCTTTCTTTGTGGCTTATACTTTTGGTGGCATATCTAAAAATAATTGTTTGATCAAGTTCTATGTTTCTGATCTCCACAACTCTGACCAAAAATGTCAACCCCTTTTATTCAACAGATATATTTGTGATCACTTACTATGTGCTCACCCTACTCTAATTATTGAGGATAAAGTGATGAACAGGACAGTTGTGGCAGATTGCCAGCTGATTATGAATATCCAAGTTATCCTCTCCTGGGTAGACTCCATTTCTACCTCTCTCTTGTAGTTAAATGTCACTATATGTATTCTTACCAATGAAATGTGAGTTAGAGTGATGCATATCCCTTTGAACCGGACCCATAAATATTCCCGGGTGCCATCCTCCATGCTCTTTCTTGCTCTTGCAATAGGAATGGAGATGGCATCAGGAGTCCCAGCAGAGGTGGCAAAAAGTGCTATTTTGTAAATTACCTCAATAGAACTGTGACAATAATTAAGTGATTATTGCTGTGGTTTGACTGTGTCGCCTCCAAAATTCAGGTGTTTCCAACATGATAGTATTAAAGGGTGGGACCTTTAAAAGGTTTAGGTCATGAGGTCTCCTCCCTCTTTAATAGGGTCAAGGCTGTTATTAAAGAGGCTTCATGCAATTTTAGGCTGGCTTGCACTGTGTTTTGCTCTGTAAGAACATAGCATTCCTCCCTTCCAGAGAATGCAGCAACAAGGTACCATCTTGGAAGCAGAGAGCAGCCCTCACCAGAAAACTAAACCTGCTGGCACCTTGATCTTGCATTAATACGTTCCAGCCTCCAGAATTGTGAGAAATGCATTTCTGTTGTTTATAAATTACCCAGGTTCAGGTATTTTGTTATAGCACAATGAATAAACTATGAAAATTATTTAGCATAATTCCATCATATACTTAGTGGTCAATAAATGTTAGTTTTTGTAATTATAATGACAGTCTTCAAATACTCCAGTAATCAACTGAGATGGTAAAAATATAAGAAACTCTGCATAATTTAGCAGATAGTGCAATTGGGTCTGCATTCCTGTAGACAGAATATCAGACTTTCTCAAGGTAACAGTTTTATATTTCTGTATAATTTCTCTGTTGATGAACCATGAAAATTCTAAGCTACTTTAAAGAATATTTAAAGGACCATAATTTGGGAAATGCTCGTCTAGTAATATGCAACTTAAACCAAAAACAATATGAAAAGTTTGGTTATAGTGATTATGAAAATTCTAAATTGTGCTAGAACATTTTGCATTTACATAACACTGTTCTATAAATGAACTCTGTAATATTCTGAATTCATTTTTTTTACATTCAACTGCGGACAACGTTCAAGACCTACCACTTCTTCTTCCTTTTCTTACCTATATCTGATTAGAAAGCCCGAGTGCTCCCCGCCTAGTGTGATGTTCAAACTATGCAAGCCCTGATCTGTGTGTGGGAATACTCTTCCTAGCTTTGCCCCCTAACAATAATAAAAGCCAAGCCAATCTTTTCTTTCTGTTATTTCAAGTCATTCTTGTACCTGCTGGGAAGCCTGCCCTGATCTCCCCAGAAAGTCTCATTATGCGAGTAATGTACTATCTCGTACCCTTTTTCATACTGATGGTGTATGTATCATCAGTCTTGACATCCAAACCAAATTTTTGATGTATGGTCCATCCTGTCCCTGTGGGGTGATCACACAATTGACCCTGTGAGCAGAAAATTTAGGCACTTTCCATTGTCACTAGAGGTCTATTTTTTCTTGCTTTAGCTTTCTAACTAGCACTGCTGCCTGCTGGTGAGCATGCAGTTCGAGCTACTTGCCTGCTGGCCAGCTTGTGTTTGAACTGCACTGCTTTGTGATGCATTTGTCGAGTACTAACAAGCCTCTGCTAAAGATTTAAACATCATAAGTCAGAAGTTTTGGTAACTGACGTTCAGTGACAGGAATACTGGGTTGCATTTCTTCTTAAAGCAGCCCTGAATCATGTGTCTCAATTTCAATATAAGATGTGACTGACACTAGGCTCAAGAGAACAACTCTTTCCTTGTTACTCTTGGTTGTGTCTCAACCAGGTGTTAGTCCCCTTTCTATAGAGAGCTCAAGAGCTCAAGAGAAAGAAAGATAGTCTGTTCAATATACAGGTCCATTGGGTGGTCACTCATGTAGAGGAAGAGCAGTTACTATGTGAAATGCTGATGTCATACTCCTAAAAGTAGATAACTCATTAGGAAGTTTTAAAAAATGCTTCTACTGATGCTCCCTATGTCTCTGTCACAAAAAAGGTTCTGATCCTCAGAGTTTTAAAGGGGAACCATCCATGACATACTTGTGGCAAAGCCAAGGAATTAATTCAAACTAAGCCCTGGGGGAGACCCATAAACCTGAAAAAGTTGTCTGGTAGAGTCAAGTATTGGAGGGAAGTGAGATAACTCACATCTTTACTGGGACTTAATATGGGCACATCAGCTTGGAAGAATTTTAGATAAGACCTCCAAAATACTAAGTATTGGTGAGGACTGGGAAACAACCAAACAAATGACTGAATAAGTTAGTCATGGGAAATTCCTTAGGGGAAACACTCTCCTCTGCCATGTGACCTCCTACCACGATTAAACAAGCAGAGATGAAAAAGGGTGAGAGGTCACTTTGTGATGGCTCTTTTGGGGGTGTTGAGGAAGTTCTCCTTTTCTCTAACTACAGCATTCAGACTCTTCTGTATCCGTCTCCTTCCCTCCCCCATGGATGTGTCAGGAGAGGTGCTTTGTGATGTCTAAGCCACCCCAGGGCTACCATTGGCTGGAGGAGTTTCTTGTTGGCCAATCAAAGCTGAAGGGTATGGTACTTCATTGTCCCAGGGAGGGTATATATAGAGAGGTCAGGAGCTCTGGAGTAGGCCAGTAGGCCACTGTTGCTCCAGCATGGCAGATGTTACTGATAAACCACAGGAGTCTAGCTCAGATATGGAAAAACCAACCACAAGCAAAAAATGCCATACTCTAAGCACCAAAGAGAGGAAGAACTGGAGGATCCCCTATCAATCCAAGAAGAAAGAAAGGGACAAGGTCAGGTGACCCTCATTATGTGCCTCTTCTTTTTCCCCATTGATATCTAACCTAAGACTCTTACCCTGTGCTTATGTGGCACAAAACCCTTCCTCAACTTACAGCCATTATCATAAGATACCCATTCCCATATATTCTCTATCCTCTTCCTTAAATCATGTCTTTCTGGGTTCACCCCATTTCTTTACCAGGTACAGAAGATAATCATGAGAGTAAAACTGGCCCTCCAAAAAAGCTCGAAAAAACGTAAATCTGGAAAAAAGCCAACAATATTAGTTTGTTATCACAGGCAGAATAAAAGAAAGAATAAAAATCAGCCAAAGAAGGACCAAGAGATCTTGGAAGAATCTCTTATTCCAAATAATGCCCCGTTTCTACCCAGGGCCCAAGAACCAGAACTATCTGTCTCGTCTCCAGAGAAAACTCCAGAGACAGGGTCTCCTGAGCAGTGAGACCAAATATCCTACCCCAAGGTACTTGGATGTTGATGATTGAAATATAATAAAGAAAAAAGTTGTGAAAAGGAATTGTGTGTGTATTTCTGAAGTGTTCTCTGATGGTGCAGAGGGAGGTAATGAAGGGAAAGAACAAGTGTGTGAGGAGGGAGTGAGGTGGGGACCTGCAAGGTTGTGGGCCAGACTGGTATGTGCACAGTTAGCTTGACATTGGTAATGCAGACTACGTGAAAAATGAGCACTGAAGACAAATTTCCTCCTTAACACTTTATACCACAGACAAGAAGGGAAAAAACTTGGTGTCTCTCAGTGTGTGGAAGGGTGGGGATAGGGATGTATACGGGAATTGTGATAAATGTAGGATGATAGTATGTAATAATAAGTCTGATTCCACTTTTGATGTTTTACTGCTGACAACTTTTAATCCCCATGCTTTCTTCTCCTTACTCACCACATCTGGGCAAGCTGATATAAACAGCTGGAAAGTTACTAAACATAAAATGGAAACAGATATCCCTAGCCTCAACAACAACAGGTTTTATCTTGCCTAAATTCTGCATAGCCAGAGCATCTGTTGTTTTAAAATATCCCCTAGTGAGCATCGACATTCTCACCCAATGAGTAATAAGTTAAAATTTGTCTTAAGCACTTATAATCAGCTTGAAAAATGGGATCTTCCTCCCCAGTTAAAACAATTATTAGCATCTTCTTCCTCAGTTTAAAAGAAAAAGCCCAATCTAAATGAAAATTGAAACTTCAATAATTGAAACACACTATATGAGACCTATTTAGAGAAGTGATGAGCATTTCCACTGCTTATGCATTTAACATCCAAAGTTGGCTTGTTCTTAAACCTGGAAAAAATGAATGGTGCCTCAGTGTAGATTATAGTAACCTTAATGTCACAATCCCACCCTTGGGACTCGTAGCTACTATTATTGAAATTACTGACTCTATCCAATAAGTAACTGGTAAATACATTGCAGTAATAGGAAAGTATTTGGTTAAATGTTCTGTTCAATGCCTATTTCAACAACCTCTATGGTGCAGGATACTTACCTTCACCTTGAAAGGAACACAATAGACTTTTACATGGGCACTCAGTGGGGTACATTTCCACACCTTTCCACCATATAATCTATGTAGGCAAGATCTTAACCATATTTAACCTTTTCAAGGTATTCAGTTATGACATCACACTGATGATAACCTGCCCTGGGGAGATTCATATGACACACTTGTTCAGGACATAAACATATTCATGAAAGAGCTCACAAGGAAGAGATCATTCATTGCTCCCACACATAGTACAAGGCTTTGCTATCTCAGTTAAATTTTTGAAAATTATTTAGTAAGCTGAGGGCTGTTCTAACCCAACAGTGTGAAAAAACAGCTTTTAGCCTCAGGTTCCACATTATTAAAACAAGCCCAGTATCTCTTAGACATTTTTGGATTCTGGAGGCAACATATTCCTCATATACAAATTATATTTAAGTTCATCAACTCTGTTACTTGCAAATTGGCCCACCTTGAATAGGGCTACCTGCAACAAAAATCTCTAGAATGTGTCTAATTTGCTATACAATAGGCAGTTGTATTAGCCCCCCGCCCAAAGACTCCTTCCTTCACTGTGGGGGCTTTGACAACTTCCTTTCATACTTTCTGGAGTCACTGGACCATCCATCATGACCATTAGTTGCAGCAGTAGTCTCTGAGCTGGTGTTTGCAGATCTCTCCAGCAGCTCGGGAGCCCACCGGCAGTCTGAGATGCAAAGGAGGGAAATTTTACCCTCTCCACCTACCCTTCTCACTGGTCTCCTAGCCTCTTGAGGCTTAATCCCCGTCAATGCCTTTCTTCTTCCCGTTCTGTTCCACAATCTCTTCCCGTGGAGTCTCCTGTAGTTTCAGGCACCCTTCCTTCTGACCCTCATCTGATCTATGTTTGTCTGTTTGTTATTTTCCTCTTTCACCTAAAATTTTACCTTCTTGCAGAGACGCTCTGGCTGGAGGTGTTTCTCATCCAGTATCTTGCCTCTCCCCACCAACCCACAGTTCTTGAACAAAGCAACAGAACTTTCACCTTCCTTACTGGTCTCAGACGACAGGCCTTATCTAATGCCATAATGGTGTATTTGAACAATCTTGAATTAGATAAAACATGGCACATTTCAGTTGTCAGTCAAACATCAGGGTTGAATTGTAATAGAGTCTGACTCCATTTTTGATGTTTGATTCATATAAATAATAATCCTTTTCATGCCATCTTGTTACATGTGTGGCAACATCAGTCTTGACATTCAAATCAGATTTGGGGTTTGAGGAGTGTACATCTCACTTCTGCAGGGTATTTTCCATAAACTCACATACTTAAAAGAAAGTTCACAATATGGTCTTATATATATGTATGCATTAACAGGCATGTATGGCATTTTATGAAGATACCAGTATTTCAGGAAATACATCTTCTTGAATGCCAAATATGTCATACATTGTTTTAGGTCCTCAGCTTACTGTGAAGAATATAAAGTCTACAGTTGTGAAATTGAGTAATCTACATTTATATGGGTGAAGAAGTGGTTGAGAGTGGTGGTGGTGAAGCCGAGGATGAGAATTTTAGGTAGCAGATGTGGGAAAATCTCTGAAGAGTTGACATTAGAAATCAGACATGAATGATGAGATAGAATCACCTATGTGAGGACTTTACAAAAGAGCATTTTAGATAGAAAGAATAGCAAATAGCAATGTCATGAAGGAAAAACAAGAACAATTGAGGGATGGTATAAAGGCAAGTATGACTGGAGTAGAATGAGAGGTGGCAGAATGGAAATAGACAACTGAAACTGGAGAGGCTGGCAGAGATGAAGTCACATAGGGATTTGTAGGGTAAGGTCTTGGGTTTTACATGCATTGTAAATCCACTGGATAGTTTGATGCATGATAGTGATTTAGTTTGACTTAGGCTTTAGAAAGGTCACTGGATATTGTGGACTGTGTTGGAGCAGAGGGGTGACAGGGTGTTGCAACAATGCAGGTATATGATGACAGCGGCTAGGTCTAGGGTTGTAGCAGAAGGAATATAATGTAATGTCTGCCATAACAGTTTGGAGCATGGTTTTGAAGTCCTGCCTCAATTTAAAAGTTCACCACCTACAATCTATATGGCCTTGAGCAAATTAGTTAATCTCTATAAGGCTTAGTTTCCTCACCTATAAAATGAGAATGATGATGGTATATATCTATGTCTTAGAGTCATTCTGGAATTGAATGAGTTAATTTATGTAAAACCCGTGGCATAATATTAGACACATAATAGACATTTTATAAAATGATTACTGATATTACCATCAATAATATGAATATATTCATAAATAAAAAGCAAGCTACTTCTTGCTTCTTTCTCCCCGATTCTCCAAGAGTTAGTATGTCTTGCATAATTTACTGTTAACAAATGACTAGTGAGCCCTTGTTTGGTTTTTGTGAAGACACAAGTATCTTTGGGCACCTGTGCTCAAGGGTCAGGCATTCTTATACCTTTAGATATGTCATAATAAGTGGGCTGTATCTGGCTTATGATTATTTTTTTTAAATGAAGTGGTAGAAGTGGCTGATCTATAACATCCTCACTTTGTACATAATGAATCATCACTTGAACACCTCTCCTCTCCACCCTCCTTCCACAAGGACCTAAATGAACAGCAACTCGTATTTCCAACATAACGACGAGAAACCTGCTGAATTTAGTCAGATTGCTTTGCCAATTGCTTCCTTCCTTTAAATGCATATTTGAGCATTTCTTCATTCAAAAAAATCTGCTTGCATTTTTTGAAGCAAGTTTTCATTTTATTACTTCCTGATCAGGACTCTCTGCAATTCCTTTGGTTCTTTGGTGCTTTTATTTTCTCCTTTTAACCTTTTAGTACATGTTCATCTTTTTACATCATCCTCATTTGGAATTGTACTTAACAAGCTATTTGCTGCTTCCTCCATATCCTTGATGAACAAGTAAAATTGGGCTTGATGTTGCCCCTTCCTCTTTGAAGTACTTTCTTTGTTTTCCCCACCTTAGGCAAATGAGTGGTGACAGCTTACTCATTCTTTAAGGCTAAGATCAAATGCTGCCTCCACTCTGAAACCTCCCTATGACCAATCCCAGCAGAGATAGTTACTCCTATTATTCTACTAATACATGTGTTAGAGCAGTTGCCATGTTGTATTAGAATTATACATTTACATGTTTGTCTCCACCAATATACAATAGCAACGGGAATATTTCATTCATATTTGTAATTGCAACCACCCTAACACACCTAACACAACATTATAATGGCTGCTCATTACATGTTTGATGAATGAATGAAAGATTGAACAATCATATTGTTTCTATACATTCTTGAGTATTTCTTTAACCTGCTCTGTAATGTTTTCTTTAGAAATGTTGCTATGGCTACCATATGTCTCCAACATGTCATGTATTAAAAACTTAATTCTAAAATTCATATATTGATTGGAGGTGAGATCTTTGGGAGGTAATTAAGACTAGATAAGATCATCAGGTTGGAGCTGCCATCATGGAACTGGTGGCTTTAGAAGAAGAGGAAGAGACACCTGAGCTGACATACACACTCTTTGCCTCTTGCTATGTGATGTTCTCTGCCATGTCATGGTGCAGCAGGAAGGCCCTCACCAACCACATGTCAATGCCACACACTCAGACTCCCCAGCCTCCAGAACCATGTGTTAAATCAACTTCTATTGTTTATAATTTAACCAGTCGGTGGTATTCTGTTATAGCAACAGAAAATGAATTAAGACAAATGTTACAAAAACAGTTTAACATTTGTATTATAAAAAATTCGAAGTATATAGAATAAAAATTTAAAAATAACTAAAACACTAAAAACACCCTGCAATGTGCACAATTTTGACAAGTATATTTTGTACATAGGTCTACATATATTTAATATAAATACATCTATGTGAATTTACATAAGTAGAGTTGTCATGTGTATGTGTGAATATATATATATATATATATATACACACACACACACTCAGGGGCCTTCTCCATCCCT